CAATGGCCAGAGCGACGATGAAAAGGCTGCAGCTCATCGTATGTGCATCATACTATCGGGGCATGCTCGCGCTGAGGACCTAGAGGGAAGCCCGGTAATGATACTGCCACCGCAACCGCCTGTGATTCAACTGGTCAGGCCAGCGAGTCAGCGTCACCAGAGCTGCTGACAAACGCCGCGCGGCTCAACGTCATGTCACGGGCTGTCACGGGTTCTTCTCTAGGCCCAGCTCGACCTGACCGCCATCTCGTAGCAAGAGGGGATACGAAATTTCGTGCGTGACTCCCGTTTTTAGTATGAACGGTGGCGGGCCGCCGCGTCAAAACGGCGGTAGATGTCACGGTTGAGTACAACACTAGCTAGTTCTCTCCAGTAGCGTCGCTGGGGGAGCCGAGGCGTTCGCGTATGATTCCCACCCGGTGACATGTACATATTGAAGATGAATTTACATTATTATATTCCGCTGTTACTTTGGCCCACCTTGACATGCACAACGTGCTTTCGGTCCTGGCCAGCGACACACTTTTGACGGATAAGTACGTTCCTTTTCTTCGCCCCCATGCCGGCCTGTACCAACCCCAAACCAATCATCCCCAAACCCACCCGATAAACAACAGATATAATATCAACAGATAACATATATATAATATTCTTACAGTCATATGCTGAATAAATATACTCTGGCCCGGAGCGCAAAACAAAGTTAAGCGGAGTTTCCTCGGCCCGTGTGCATGCATCGAATTCGCGATCTGTTCCTCATCCGATGAAACTGCCTCTTTAATGAAAAACTCTCGAAAACTCATTGCCAATACGATATGCCTTCACAAGTTTAGCCATAATTGCCACCTTCCATAGACGCTGCGGAGCGCTACCATCTTCATGTATTATCCGGTCGTGTGCGGAAATAACCCTGTAGTCGATTCAGTCGAATGAATAGAGATTGCAACCACAGGCGAACAGCAGAGACCGTGAAATGCGAAATGCCGCGGCGCTCGCGCCAACACCCCTCTCTCCCTACCGATTCGTCGCACCTCCTGCATAGTTCTCGCCCTCATTGCCCCGAACCAGAACAGCTCGCTCTGCAACCCCTACACTAGCCTGGAGCTACCATTACCCAAGGTAGGTGTCAGCAGAGGATGCGAAAAACGAGTAAAGCAGAGAAAGCAGAAGCAGGTAAACAAGGAAAACTCGGAATGACAAGAATGCAATAATTACTAAAGAAAAATGGTTTCCTGAGAAAAACCGGCTTTGTGTCTGTAAAACACTGGCGAAGAGGCGTAAACGAACCGAAACGGTCCTATTTCGCGTAGCGCGCATATTATAGTGCAAATTATATAACACAACCGGAGGCCGATCAATCCGTCGTGCGTGACCGATCATCGCCCGCTGCTTTACTCAGTTACACGTCGTGCGAAAACTATGGAATAAACTCATCCAAGCCGCCCCTGGTCGGAGGGGATTCCATGAATACCCACGCTACATATTACTCCTCGTCCTTAGTTACCCAACCTCTCGACCATTGTGATTCGGAAAGCTCGTGAGCCCAGCTTAATTATGCCAACCTCAAACCTTTATTTTATATGTCCCGGTTTCCCGAGCCTTAATGAGTCTTACAAATTTGCGCGCTGCCGTCAAATTATTGCCACCGCGTGACGGCCCCGTCTTATACGCCGTGGAAATTACTAGCCGTAGTCATAAGAATATAGAGAGGAACGCACGGCTTTAAGCGGACGGGAGCGAGAGGTATCATGCGAATCAGCTAAGCCATGAGGAAGGCGATGCTGGAAGCGATATGATGCAGAGACCTCGTGCCGTGCTTGAGTATTGACAGATCTAACCAAGAAAGCCAGCTTGAAGACAATATACTCTTTGCCCTGATAAAAAATATAATACTGAAGAAGGTATCATTGATCCCTATTCGAAATATATGATATTCATAAAATCATATAAAAAGCCTTTGTTCAGGTGTCACCCGCAGGCCCGAAGTTTAGGGTGTTCCGTACAGTCAAAACCAGTACCTACGTATCCCTCCATAAGAAACCCTAAATTAGATCTAGCCCATAGCCTAGACGCGAATATCCAAAGTATATTTCATATAACAGCGAGGTCTAAGGGAGGGTCTTTCTTCTGGCGGCCTTGAAAACAAACTTCTGCTCCCAAAGTGTTTAAATAAAGAGTGTGGTTCTAAAAATTTAATACCCAAATAAAAGTTCATTCAACCTTAGATCGGCGTACAGGCGATTAAACCGATCAAAAGATATACGAGTGCGAGACAATAACAGTCACGCTAAGAAAATCCATCCGTGTGCCCTTTGATAATTACAATGAGAGACATAACGGCCCAGTAGTCTAATGGATAAGCACCCGGCACTCCTAAACCATTGATTCTTGGCTTCGAAATCCCACCGTTCGAGGAAATGCCATCTGTTTCTGTGCTACTTTGGGACTGTTTTAGCTCACCACTAAAAAATGCTTTACTTCGTGCCGCTATCTCACCGTTAATTTCAAACATTTACTAATTTTTTTTTTACGCCTACATTTAAACGTTTAGCTAAAAATCCATAAATAATACTATAGTAGTTAGGCATTTTTAATGATAGGCGCCCCAAAACCTGACGGCTGAACAAAACCTTCACGAAGCCTCATGGCTAGCGCTTACATATCCAAATATTATTATATTTTCTATATGAATTTCATTTTATTATTTAATATTTTTGACTTTTCTATTTAATTGACTTTTATCTTTTGATTTTCTTATTATTTTTTACTGTTGGGCATTGCCGCGATGCCGGATGGCCCATGCGGATGAGATGGCGAT